CCTCTTTCCTGCTTATGCAGGGGGTCGGACTCGATGATCTATTGAGGTCCCTTCCGACCCTAAAGTCTATGAATCTTGTTTGGAAAACAGCCCCTTTTCCCTGTATACCTCAATGCAGTCCTTTTTACAGGTTCTCTGCCTGGCATGTACAGGAATTGAATACTTGTTTTTGGACAAAATACTGGCACTGGTGGAGGCAGCTCTTTTTCTGGAATTTTTTTGAACATTATCTGTCTTTAAAATATATTTATACCAATGTGTGTTCCAATTTATAACATCCAAACTGTCTTGTTTCTCTAGTTCTAATAGTGAGCTTGTTTTTTGTCATAACTTGGTGTTTGGTACCAGCTTAACAGTCTACAGTCTGAGTAGGTCTTATAGTATCATTGAAGTATATGGTAAAACGTTTTTAGGGTTTTTGGTTTTTTTTAAAGGGATGAAAAAATTGGATAAGGCAGCAGAATTTAAGTGATGGTAGTTAAGCAAGAAGCTTGAACTTGAGAGATCCTGTTCCCCATTTTTGTATCGTTGTATCACTGCTATATGTATTTTTAAGATGGGAAAGAGGCTTAAGGCATCTGTAGAGTACAAGGTGGCACCTTTCAGAGACATGCCAAGCTCGTTAGCTCCCAAACCAGAAATAGTATTGCCTTGCTTATGCAATGATCAAAGGCAGAGTATTAGTGCAGCATGGTGCGTGCACCAACTTGGCAACACTACTTCCAGTTTAGGAACTAGGACGTTGAAAGCATGCATGGCATATTACCACAGCAATGGGGTCTTTCAGCACGGTGCTGCCTTGTCATATAGACCTACCCTTAACAGTGTCTCCTTTTTAAGACTGTGTAGGTAACCTGTGCTGTTATTATAAGACAGCCAAATTGCTGCCAGTATGTTTTCTTCAAGGAAACATGTTTCAATTGAGCATCATTTTCAAAACTTGTTTAGTAATGCTATTCAGTACTGATATACCTATGAGTACTTGTACTGATGTATTCATGAGGTATTCTTGATACTTTCTAGAAAAAAAATATCACATGAACTAGAAAGACAATGCTAGTTACTTTCAAGCATATGCCTATTAATTGTCCAATAAAGCTAGTGACCTGGAAATGGAATTTTTATATTTTAGTCCTTTAACTTCCCCCCCTCTTTCATTGCCAAGAGGTTAATACCAATCAGGTATGGAATTTGGAGGCAGTCCAATCTTGCTGAAAGCTGTGCGGCTTAGTTCTGCCCTTCACAGTAAACCATCATGTTGTTTGTGCCTGCAGTGGAATTAGTCAGACGCTCAGTTTCTCTAAGTGAGTGGTGTCAAAGGTACAGTCTACATGGCTTCCCACAGGGCCAGAGATTTGGCAGTTGGACAAGCAGTGGCAGCATTAATTGCCCTGGCTCCTCAGAGCCATGGCAGTTATTGCTATTGCTGCCAAATTTCTGGTCCTTTAGGCAGCTCCATGAATCAGGTGATATGGCTTCATTTAAAGTTATAACTTTAAATGTTGTTCATTTTCATGCAGTAGTGACTTATCTTTCTCCCCTACTACATTGGATTATTAGTTGCATAGCGGTTTCAGCTCCCACTGCAGAATTCCTTTCAGGCAGGGCAGAGTTCTTCTAGAAACCTAAAGATAAATCTAATTTATTCCTTATGTGAGACCAGCATCTACAGGCTCGGATGAAGGTGAATTACTTCCTGCTAGTTCAGAACTAGCCATTTCTCATGCTGGCAGTACGTGGTGCTCCAACTTTGATCAAAAAGATCAGCATCTTCTTTGTGCAGAGAAACTGCAACTCTGGCTTAGAAAAACCAAACTGAGAGCCTCTGAGCACTTGAGATGGAGGGAATGCCATCCAGCTAGCTCGAGAGTCAAAAATCCACCAAAAACCTGGGCTCAACAGGGAAGTGCTGCTGAATGTTGCTTGTCCCTCTCCAACATTGAGTGAGTACTCAACTCTGTGGGGAACAAGCAGGGTTCCAAAAGGTGTCTCTCTTCTGATGCTGAATCAGGATTTTCGTGAAGCTCAGGGGTAAGCCTTGCAAGCAAGCTCCTGCCATGAGGTTCCCAAAAGGCAAAAGCATAAGACAGTTGCACCTAAAGAAGGGTCCTTTCTTCCTCCCCATAGGTATTAAGTGAGGACACATGACACTGCAGTTTCAAAGCTTTTGCTGCAGTCATTTAAACTGAAGTCTTCATATACTTAGTACAGAAAACCTACTTGATGAAAAACAAGTGGTTTGTCATCTAGGAGTATGATCTTTGCATGGAGTAAGAAGTTTCTGGTTCTGTCTGGATCAGATCCTTAGTGTGGTTTGCGATCAAACCAATGGCTTCTAACTTATTGGCTATGTGGAGGCAGCATTACATTTGTGAAGAGCAATTGGTTATTCTAAAGGTATTTTCTACATCCAAACTTACAGGTAAAGAGCTGTGTGGGGAAACAAGCAACATTAGTAACTGACACAGCAGAGATTCTCAGCTCTCACGATTAGCTGTTTCTGAAGGAGGTGCAGAAAAACCATCTAGCAGGCATTTATGGTGCTAGGAGTTGGGGACACTTTCCTCCTGACAGAAATTGGCTTGTAACTGGGGCATATGTGTGTATACATTCCAAAATGGGGACGTAACCAGAGGGGAGAGCTTCTCCATGGCAATAGAGATACTTTTCTGCCAAAAGCAGTATCTGTTATTTCTTGACATGGTTCCTTTAAAGAATACAAAAAATATAAAAGGAGCATTGAAGGCTTTTCTTTATAAACCTCTACTAGGCTAGGAGGTACATCACGCTTGCTAGATAGTCAAAGAACTCACATTGCACTTGCAGAAAGTTCCAGGCCCCTAGAACAGGGACTCCTGTGTCCATATTAGGAACAGCTACTGTTTAACAGCTTAGATGTTGGAAGTATAATTCAGCATGGATTTTTTTTTCATTAGTCTCTGGTATAGGAATCGGACAGAATTTAGCCAGGACATTTCATTCACTGGTGTAATCAAATTTATATTTCTGGTGCATGCAGAAATAAAGTTGCCTTGTGGCAGTGACTGCTTTCCTTTTTCATATACAGTCTTGACCTCTAGGTGTTACTTTAACAGCAATCATAATTACAAATATCTGCTCATCTTGGCTGTATTAGAGTTGCTTCTGGATGTCATTCCTAAGTACTCCAAAGGTAGATTTCAAGCATACTGTACACATATTGCATTTGCAAAGTCAGTTTAGTTCTGTCTCAAACACTAGGACCTTAGCATCTCAGAGTTGCTGAAGGGAAGGTATTAAAATCCTATGGAGGATGGCATACAAGGAAACTTTGCAGAAGTTCCTAGGGACATTGGGAGGGAATGAGGGGGAAGAATATGTCACCTGACAAAAGCTAGCAAATTAAATTTCCATTTATCTGCAGATGCATCCTTTGATAGGAAGCTGCTATTGGATTGGCTCACACCCAATTCCTTATATGGGGGGGGAAACATATATTCTTACACATTACTTGGTAATAATAATTAAGCCCCGGTTTATCTCCCCTTCCCCTCCCCCCATTTTTGTGATTCATGCTTCCTATGAATGATGAGTTGATAAATAGGGCTGTGCAAAGCTCCAGTTCCTGATTCAATTTGGCGGAGATTCGGCCCGATTCAGTGGCCAAATCTCCAAATCTGAATCGAATCAGAGGACCCTTTAATCTCTCCAAATCAAATCGGAACCCTCCGAATCGATGCGGAGAGATTTGGCGATTGGACATAGACACGGCTTTAAATGTTTTTTCTACATACCTCAAGGTACCAGGCGGCTCATGAACGCTGAAGTGCTGGGGCGGACGGAGTGTCCCACTGGAGCGGGGTGGGGCTCCCCAGCACACTTGGCAGCAGACCCAGAAGTGGACCAGAAGCACTTCCAGGTCTGCTGGGGAGTGGGCCAGGCCCCCCCCCTCCAGCTTGGTGACTGTTTCCTGGGTCTGGCGAAGTACCCAGGGTCCGTCCGTGGCTGATTGCCAAGCTGGAGAGGTGCAAGGGGGGAGGGAGGGGTCCCCCTGCTCTTGGTGGCAGACCCAGAAGTGGACTGGAAGTAGTTCCGGTCCACTTCCAGGTTCACCACCAAGCATGGGGCGGGGCCTGCGCTCCTGTGAGATGCTTCATCTGCCCCACCGTCGCAGTGTTCACGAGCTGCACCTAGTACCTAGAGATGTGTAGAAAAAACATTTAAAGCTATGTCTGTGGCCGAATCGCTGATTCTCTGAAGCAGCACTGAATCTTTAAAATTGAATATGGCCCGTTTCGCACGCCCCTAGTGAAAACGTATGCAACAGAAGGAGAAATTTCTCTTCTGTTAACAGATTCTGTTCTCATCCAAACATGCTATCAAGTAAACAATCAGCTTATCAAACTGAATTTTTTCCAAGAAAAGACTGACATGTAATTGTCTTAGAATGACTGCACTGCTGCTAATAAACAGTTGCTGTAGAGTACTACACCTTTGGGGAAAGGTCTTTGGGTGGTCTGAATTGAAGAGCAGGACATAATCCTGAGGCCTCTAGCAACAGGACTGACCTCTGTATTCCAGAGAGGGTGTCACTAGCTCATCAATACAGGAGAGGAAAAGCTGCTTAAAAAAAGAAGAAAATAATATTATCTATGTAAGATGGTTCTCATTATTTCCCAATGACTCTTGCCATTAAAGGAGCAAGGAATGCTAGAATTATTGGAACTTGAAACTATTACAGACAGAATAATACTTATTGGATATCTTTCTAATACAAGACTGCATATCTTTCTAAAAGAAAATTATGAGCTAAATGTAGATACTGCTGAACATAATGGCTTGTGTTATTCAATATGTCAGACTAGATGTTGATGAGTCCCTTTTGCCCTTGAAAATCTTTAAATGATATTTTGTAACAAGTGAGAAATATCCTTTGTAGTGGAGAGCTTTGAATTACTTTTGAATACTGTGAAGATGTTTTTTGTAACCTTGTATTCATTGTTATGTAAAACTTCTCCCAGGACAACAGGGTACATATTGGACCAAAAATGGAGATTCGGGTTGTGACTCTAGGGTTAGATGGAGCTGGCAAAACGACTATTTTATTTAAATTAAAGCAGGATGAGTTCATGCAACCTATTCCAACCATAGGTAAGTAACTTAATGATGGAACTTCTTTAATTTTGGGGGTGGCTTGTTTCATTACCAGGAATAAAAGTATAAAAATGAACTTTTTGCTTTTAGGTTTCAATGTTGAAACGGTAGAATATAAAAATCTGAAGTTTACCATTTGGGATGTTGGAGGGAAACACAAGTTGAGGCCTCTGTGGAAGCATTATTACCTGAATACACAAGGTAGGATTGATAAAACATTTGTGCATTAGAGCAAAAAAAAAATCTATAGTTAGAAGGTTTCTAACCATATAACTGACACAAAGTCAGTCAGTCAAAGACAAAGTAGTTGTTAAAGTTATAGCCTAACAAAATACTTAGTCTAGTTGATTTTGGTGTCTGCTGGATAAAAAGGGCATTCTTCATAAATCCATCAGACTGTTCGTGGAGCCATAACAAAATTAGAACTTCTGTTAAATTGTTTTTTGCTGCTGACAACAGATAAAAAAAGTCAAGTGTTCCAGAAGTCCACATAGTGACAAGGAGTACTTGCCAGGTATAAATTTTTAAAAATAGCATTTAAAATTAAAACAGCCATTGGGAGCCTCTTTTTGGCAGTTCATTTACTTGACCAAAGTTCTGTAATTTCAGGCTTAATATTGCAGTGTACTATTTGGTCATAAACCAGTTTTCATTCTTATTGTAATTTTATTAATAGCTTTGCTGTCTAAATAGCAAAATATTGTTCTGAATACTGTTGGCATGAAAGCACCTGTTGTAGTTCTCGACACTGCCTTATGGAGATGCCTGAAGTGGATTGCAGTTTATTTTTCATTTAAAGTTAGATTCAGATTGTTTTCCATGATATATTTAATTTAAAAATCTGAAAGAGTCTTTTAGGAATGACAGATGTTTAATGCTTTGAGTGCTTCTCATACTTTTATTAGAGCCTTCTTTGCAGAATTTTATAAAATGTAAAATTGCTTAGTTGCTGCTTTGGTTTATTTTACTTTTCATTTTTAAAAAAGCTAATGAGTATTGAATGTATGTAACTTCTGTTCTCCAGTTCTGCCTCACTAGTTCATTAGCTTTTTTGTTCTGTCCTTCTAATCTGCAATCCTTAAGAAGTTGTAATGGGAGATGCAAGGGTGCTAATCACTTAACCCATGTTAGCCCACAGTTTTCCTGGAATGTGTTACCTGTCCATAAATGCAGTGTCACAGGTTAAGGCAGGGGCGGGCAATTATTTTGGGCAGAGGGCTGCTTACTGAGTTCTAGCAAGCCATCGAGGGCCACATGACAGGCAGCCCAGGGCAGATGAATATTCATTTTCTAAATTTTTTAGGGGCCCCACGGGCCGGATAGAATGGCCTGGCAAGCCGCATCTGGCCCCCGGGCTGCATTTTTTCCACCCCTGGGTTAAGTTCTGTCTACATAAAATTGCTGCACTGGTTTAGCTAAAGATGTAATTTTTAAGATGGCTCTAAACTAGAACAAATCAAATTTTACTTTGATTTAGCAGGAAGTGGTTTAAACATGTATGAGACTTTGCATCAGTTGGATCTATTTGAAAAGTATTTAAACCACTGCGGCTCTCTTCTGTAAGCAAAGCCTAAAGCTTCAACTCTTTTTTAGGAAGAACACATTCTTGATTTATGTTTGTAAATTTGTAACATACCTTAATCTTGATGAGGTTGTGTAGTTCTGAGAAATGTACTGTGGGCATTGTAGATGGTTGTATGTTGGAAACGAACAGGATTTGTTGCAGCTGAGATATCTAAGTTCCCTGGGGTATTTGGTGTGTGTGACTCTGTTGTTTTTCTCTAGCCGTAGTGTTTGTTGTGGATAGCAGTCACAGAGACAGGGTCAGTGAAGCTCACAGTGAACTTGCAAAACTACTAACAGAGAAGGAATTGCGTGATGCCTTGCTGCTGATCTTTGCCAATAAGCAGGTATATGCAATTTTTTTGTTTTGTTTTTTTAACTTGTTTTTTTCTTTTTAAAATCATGTTTCAGTTAACACAAGTCTTCTGTTCTCTGCCATAATTTAAAAAAGGGGCTGGGGTAGAAAAGCAGAAGTTAAAAGTTTTCTCTTGACGTTGAATGGTACCATTACACAAACAGACTTATTGAAGTCATTGGTGGTGATAGTGGTTGTTTTTAATGAATCAAGCAGTTGCTTCAGTGTGGCAAAGGTAGTAACAACTTTCTGTCCATTCTTACAATTATATTGATTTGGTCTGCAAATTTTTTTAAAAAGTGAAAGATCTATAACAGTTCTAAAATCTAATTTCTTGTCAGTGCGACGAAAAATACTGAGAACTTACTGCAGGAAAATATTTGGGGGGTATGTGTGTATCAGTGGGCGCATCCTACACCTGATGCTATGTTGCTGTAGCAACGTGCTACAGCAACATGGCATCTGTGGGCAAAAACTGTAGCACTGCAGCTACATCACCAT